TTCATTCATTCATTCCCTCTTATTCAGAAACTGCAGTAAGCTGTGTGTACAACAATGACCAAAGCAGGCAAGTGTAGGCTCTCATGGAACATACAGACTAGTAGGAGAGGTAGACATTAAACAAATTACATATAATTATAAACTGTGAAGAGTGAAAAAGGGAAAATTAGATTCAGGAATGGGTGAATTTTCTCAAAGCTGTACTGAACATACATTTAAAAAAATATATATTTTATTGATTTTTTTTACAGAGAGGAAGAGAGAGGGACAGAGAGTTAGAAACATCGATGAGAGAAAAACATTGATCAGCTGCCTCCTGCAACCCCCCCCCCCCCCACTGGGGATGTGCCCACAACCAGGGCACATGCCCCTGACGGGAACCGAACCCAGGACCCCTCAGTCTGCAGGCTGATGCTCTATCCAGGCTGAGCCAAACCAGTTTCGGCCTGAACATACATATTTTATATTAATATTGGAGGTCCAGTGCACAGATTCATGCACCGGTGGGGTCCCTCGGCCTGGACTGTGCCCTCTCGTGGTCTGGGACCCCTCAGGGGATGTCAGAGGCCTGGTGCACAGATTTGGCCTGGTCCCTGGGGGGAAAAAAAAATTAAAAAAAATATATATTTATATTTATATATATGTTATTGCTCTTCTTTCTTTCCTTTAAAAAATATATTTTATTGAGTTTTTACAGAGAGGAAGAGAGAGGGATAGAGAGTTAGGAACATCAATGAGAGAGAAACATTAATCAGCCTTCTGCACCCCTCCTACTGGGGATTGCCTACAACCAAGGTACATGCCCTTGACTGGAATCAAACCTGGGACCCTTCAGTCTGCAGGCCGACGCTCTATCCATTGAACCAAACCGGTTTTGGCTACTTTTGTTTCTTTATTATTTGTTTAGAACTTATGTAAGAGCCACAGATGAGCAAACTTGCGTTTCACTGGGTGTTGGGTGTTGAGATAGTTTTAAAGTACAGTCAGATGGTGCTCCATGTTATGGAATAGCTCTGACAACTGTATGGTCCTTCTGTGATGGGCTTGAAGTTCAGTTGAGTCAGCTGTGAGATCGAAGGCAGAGGCTAACTAAAGGTTCATTCAGGTGAGGAGCATTCTCCAGGAACCCTGCTTGCATTTCCAAGGAACTGTAGCTCCTAAACCATCCTGCAGTAATAAATAAGTTTTAAGTAGAAAATGTGTAAGTTATACATCCTAGCAAACTTTATCCATTTTATTTCTTGAAGCACCTAAAATAAGTGCACATTTCATCAATTGAAAAAATATTTTATTCTTATAGTGGGAAAAATTAAAACATAATTCACAGTAATAGGCTCTGCAATATTTCTAAAATGCCAAAAACTCAAGACCAGCAAAGCAATCTGACTTTTAGTTATATATGACACACATCCTAGGTCTACTATATGTTTGTAGAAGCACCAAAAGATGCCATAAATACATGGCTACTTTAATAAATCCAGAAATAATCTTTCTGTTGTATAGGAAAAAAATTTTATTTTTGATTCCAACTATGTTTTAAAGGGCAGTATTTCTTGGTTTTCTGGTGAGTCTTAGAGAAAACTTTTTAATAGTATGAGTACCTGAGAAATATAGTACTTTCATAATATAGCTTTTTATTCATTTTTTACTAAAAGTTACTATTTTGCTCAAATATTTAACTCTATTTTCTTGATTCTTGCTTCTATTCTCAATTCTACTGAAGTAAATTTCTTTTTTCCCTTTTCTATTTCAAATATTCCATAGCAGTATTTATAATAAAGACTTTTACACATTGAGAAAAAGGATGTTTGCATTCACTCATTCATTCACTCACTCACTCACTCACTCAAAGAATATGTATTATATGCCCATTACATTCCAAATACTGTTCTTAGGTTGAGGAAACCAAAGTGAATAAAACAGACAAAAATACTGCTTTCATTTACCTTCCTTTATGGTGGGTGGAGACAGAAAATAAGCATAGTGAATAAATAAATTATATTTTTGCATTAAAAGGTAATGAATGCTACAAAGAAAAACATACCAGGGCATCTGGAACCACACAGTTTATTTTAGAATGGTTTCTTTTTGACATAGAACAAATAATATTAATTCAAAAGTTTCTAGAATTCCTATTATAAAAGCCGAGTTACAATATAACATTATTAATCAACTTCATATATTTAACATCATTTATTGATAGGACACTGTATTACACACTTTAACGTAGAAAATATACTTAATTCCCAATATAACCTTATGAGGCAGGATTTTTTACTACACATAAGAAACATCCTGATAAAGAGTGATTCAATAACTCTCCCCTGCAGAGGAAGCAAGCGATCAGCACAGCCTGAATTCACATCCAGATTTTGGATTTCCCAATGCTTCTCTAGTCTGACTCTGCCTTGCTTCATGTAACACTCCAACTCTTTATTACAACATTCTGTCCCCTGCTTTATCGAAGTGGTATAAAGGTTTCAGATTTGGAAGTCCTCCTAATAAGAAGAAAACAACTTTCACGTAGTCTAGCAGAATGATTTCTGAGGGACTTTTCTGTTGATCTCTCAAGAAATGCGAGAGGGAAGTGATTTAGGGATTCGAGTGTCATTAGATTAAAATATCTCGCTTCTCAATCAGATTCTGAGGCTTGCAAGTCTCAAGTTTAGTTGTAGTGGTGCCCAGCTTGAACGTATTTTTCCACTAAATATATAACTTCAAAATTTCCTGAGGAATCAGGAGCTTTTATTTCTAAAAGTGCTGCTCTTGGCTAATCCCCATTTGCTGGTGCGGTTGACACACTGTTAGCACAGTTTTCATTTCGAATACCCAGTGCGTGCACCTGTTGCCAGACTGGCTAAAACCGTTCTCACTCCTTGGTATTGGGCCACTCTGCTGATACAGTGTGTTATAAATATTGCAAGGACAGGGCAGTTTGTAGGACAGGATGATACAACATAATTTGACTGGCAAGCTCATTTCCTATTTGGTCCCTGTAGCCAGAGACATGAGTTAGAATTTCAGCCTATGTCACGGTTATTATAGAAATGGCCAGTCATTATATTTCATTTAGAATAGGCTGTCTATAAGGTATATTGGTAAGAGTTACCTCTGTGTTGCTTAACCTGATCCTGATTGGGAGGTGGGGGCGGGGGAGAGGAATGGTATCTTCCTAAATAATAACTTGAAGTTTGAAACTACCATCTCTACGTGAAATCACTGCTATACTTGAACCGGCTGAAATAGAGAAACACTTCCTGGGATTGCGTGAGACAATAATACGAGAAGGGAATTCTGGCCGCTGCACTTTGCTTGAGTGACACCGATATATTTGGAAGCATCTGTCTTCCCCTTCCACCTTGATGCATGTTTGCTTATTTTGGCCTCCTAGGTGCAACTGGTTCCCTCTGACTCCCGTGTCCAAAGGTTCGAACTGTATTGAGGTTCAAGTGCTCCTTCTTAGATGTTTATCATTGCAAACTAGAACCAGATTTTTGGGGAAAAGCACGTCCCAATTTGCAGTTAAACTCTTGAGTTCAAATAGTTTCCTTTCCAATAAATGTGATATCCTTTAGTCAGTCATGTTTTGCCGAAGTACCCCACACAGAGAATGTGATTAGGAAGTGTTCTGTTCCTTTCCATGATATTCATCACACGTCTGTATGGGGCAGGCAGAGCTCAGAACCAGAAACGTTTTTCCTGACTCTCTGATCTTTATGATACCGTATATTGCTTTAAAAAAATATTTTATTGATTTTTTACAGAGAGGAAAGGAGAGGGATAGAGAGCTAGAAACATTGATAAGAGAGAAACATGGGCCAGCTGCCTCCTGCACACCCCTCACAGAGGATGTGCCCGTAACCAATGTACATCCCCTTGACTGGAATCGAACCTGGGACCGCTCAGTCCATAGGCCAACTTTCTATCCACTGAGCCAAACCGGTCTTGGCATGATACGGTATATTGTTATTTTTAAAACACAAATCTAGTACCCCTTCTATGCCGGACACAGTTCTAAGCACTTTACAGATGTTAACTCCTTAATCCTCACAGCATCTTGGGAGGAAGGGATTGTCCAAGGTCACACACATGGTGCTGGTGGGGCCAGGGGACTCAAACCCAGCAGCCTGGCCCCAGAGTTTCTGTTCTCTTGCACTCCACTGTGCACTGTGTAGTAATTTTCAGATGATTCTCTCTCATCATTGATGTTTCTTTTTCCCTCTCCCTCTCCTTTCCTCTCTGAAACCAATAAAAATACACTTAAAAAACATTATAAAAATGTCATTCTTTCTACTTGTCAGTGAGAAAACTCCCTTTTGTTAATGGTATTTCCAAACGTTATTGTGAGAACGGGAATGTTTACTTGGAGGACACAAAACTGTTGGAGGGATAACCTGAAACTAAGACTCTCTGCTAGCTCCCCTCACACAAAGACCCACCCAGTCTCACTGAGATGCTTTGCTGCATCCGGAGAGAAGCTGTAGCAGCATATGTCTCCAAAGGGCTCTGCGATTGCTTCCCAGCTGTGGCACTTCCTGAACAATTCCTTCCAGAACAAAACCCAGCCTCTCTCAGAGTCCGCTTCCTCCACCATGTTTACCCAGAAGACCTGTTATAAGATAATGCAGCTGGAAGGACTTTATAGAAGCACATGCAGATGACAGGCATTGCTGTTCGTGTACATCTTCAGCTAGAGTTGCGCTCTGTATTTCTGCACCACAGTATTCCTCTAGGAGCTCTCTGTGTTAATGGCCCCCACATTTCAACGTCCTGAAATAGTGAGAAAAACGCAGTGCACCTTCAGTTCTTGCATAGGAGGTCGTCTCTGTCCTTGTCAGCCTTTCAGCGAACATGTCTTTCCTGTCTAGAGAAAAAAAAAACTTAAAAAGATAACTTTCCGAATGGTCCTTGGTTTGCACGAGTGATGTTCTTCCAGAGAAAGATGCTGTTTCTCTTGAGTTTTTATGCCTCCTTTCTTCTTCTTTTTTTTTTTTTTTTAGATGGGAGAATCCTTGGAGACCCACTTTGGCAGCGACGGCAGAAGGGCCATACTCTACCGGCCTCCCTCCTCCAGCTCAGCGGAGGTCCGGCTCCACCAGCACACCCTTGCTCACCTTGGTTACTCTGTGGTCGTCACCAAAGAGAGGCCCGGACTTGACCTTGGGCTGGAGCTGCTAGGAAAAGGTCAGAATGTGAGAGTCTTTACCGAAGTGGCTTGGCGTGGAATGTTAAATAATTCCTGGAATGTGCTGCTCTCTTCCTCTGAAAGAACTCAGAAACACAACATTTTCTCCCTGATCAGCTTTCTTGCCTTATAGAAAACTTGGCTCCTTTTCTACTTCCTCTCAATGTTGCTTTGGCTAGATGTCTTTATTCTTGAAATTATTTTGCTTGTGTTTTTGTAGCATTTTGGAGTTGCATAGTTCATGCGTAAACGCTACGTGAAACATGTTTATGTTTATGAGCCTGAGTACATGATCTGCCCAGCGCCGAACTGCTCATATTTTAAGAAAATTGCCAATTCATCTGACTGCAAGTGGAATGTGCTGGGAATTGTTTCCAGAAGCCAGCTCCAGTGTGATTCATAGACGGTCTGTAACTGTGAAAGAAGTGTGCATATTTATCACATGTGTGATTGCTGGCCAACTACTTTTCTTTCCTTCATGTGCAGTGAAAAATAAAAGATGAGTGTTTAAACAAGTGATTTGAAAAAGAGAGCTGAAGAGCTGATAAGGGCCAAAAAGGGACTAACAATAACAGCTAACGCTTGTTGGACAACTAACCTTGTGACAGATACTGTGTTGTGTTCTGTGTCCATGACCACAAAACCCTCTGTGTGCCTGAGCTTAAGGCACATTAACTCCTCTCCCTGATTTTCCAGAAGAGGAAACTGAGGTTTCAGGAGGCGAAGAGGCTCACCCTGCATCTTACACTTGGGTTGCGGGAGTGGCAGGACTTGAAGGCCCGTGTTCCAGCCCTCACCTCTGTGCTCCTCCTCCTCCCCTCTCTGCTGCCCCCGTCTCTCTTTGGGCCCAGGATCCTGCTTGACTCTGTCCTTGTTAAACCCACAAGGAGGTGGAGTGCTCACAAACAGGAGCAAATCTGATTCTTCTCTTTGTAAAAGAAGGAAGAAAAGCAGTTTGAATCGACCGCTAGACTTGGCAGAGGTTTTCTTTGGGAGAGAATATGCAGATCCCAGAGCCATAATAATATTTATTTTTCCTTCAAGTTTCAACCATCATGCCGTCCTCATAGCTCTTCTGCAGCTAGGTGTCCCCCACCAACTCACCCCATCCCCTGTACTCTTTAAAGTGCCAGGTTATGCTAGTGAATGGAAGATTACTCTTGACCACGTTCACCTTTTACCACATTGACTGTAAACTTGTATGCTACTTAGCTAGCAAAGCTCCCACGGGTTAGAGGGGGGAAAAATCTACTTTATCTACTTTGGCCCTGGTCAGTTGCTCAGTAGTTAGAGCATCATCCCGTTGACTGAAGGATTGTGGGCTCGATTCTCAGGCCAAGGGCATGTACCTTGGTTGCAAGTTCAATCCTGGGCTGGTAAGGCAGTAGCTGGGGAGGCAACAGATTGATGCTTCTCTCTTTGTTCCTCTGCTCCCTCTACCATTTAGAGAGCAGAAAAGCTGTAAGACACTTATTCTCCAGGGCGGTGAGAGGGTGTGTTCCTGGGATAGAGGAGGCAGATCCTCGAGGAGAAGCCCCTCGAATTTCACTCCAGGCAGCTGGGGCAGGGCAGGAGGCAGCCTGGATGGTCAGCGGGGCTGGTTCTGTGTGGGGAGACAGTGGGGTTGGGTGCTGTTTGAGGGAATGGGTGCAAGGGGACGTGTGGTCAGCGGGCGCCCGGGGACCTTGGTGGCCTTGAAGGCAAGTTGGGGCAAGAAGTTGGAGAGTGGAGGATACAAGAAATGAAGAGAAGAGATATGTCACCTAAGAAGAAGGGGCAATGTTGGCTACAAGCAGAATTGACTAAAAGTCTGGGAAAAAGCACTTCTATATGTCTCAGGTGGTCCCACACACTGCAGCATAGGTACCCCCAGCTATCCCAAACCTATGCCAGACACCCACGCAGGTGCCATAAGACACCCCCTTCATGCTTTCAGGCACCAGAAAACTGTTCAGACACCCGCCTAGGTCTGTTAGATCCCCAACACTAACATTCAGAATCTGAAAAACAGGCCAAAGAACCCCAAAGTACCACATACCTTCATTCCGAAGCCATTCAATCACCCTAAACAGACTTTCAAAAACCGAGGAACATATGAGCCCCTACATGGAAACTTCTAGATCCTCCCCTAGAAAACAAACCAGACACCTCTCTCCCCAAATCTATAATAATAAAAGCATAATATGCTAATTAGACCAGGCAGCTATACAGTGGAACAACCATCAGGATGACCTTCTGGATAAAGCCGGAGCTGCAAGGGTTGAGCCCCTTGCACAAATTTCATGCATTGGGCCTCTAGTTAAATAAATAAGTCTATATATATAAAGTGCTAATATGCAAAGTGTTCCCTCAGGAGTTTGACTCGGAGACCGGGAGTTCGATCACTTGCTATGACATGCACTGACCACCTTCCAGCACAAAACGAAGGAAGGCCCCTGCTAGCCAGTAGCTGGCAGCTGGGGAAGGAAGGCCCTGGCCAGCAGCCAGAAGGCCCCAAAATGATCTGATCACTGGCCAGGTCTAGGTACCCCACTTATGTATGAATTTCGTGCACTGCGCCTCTAGTAAACAAACAAACAAATAAATAAGTAAATAAAATGTTCATTCTCCCTCTCATCCCACACAATAGTTTAGCCCATCAGTGAACCTGGTGACTGTGTGTGGCCATCGCCTGCATAGCTGGTGAGTGGTGCAGAGCCTGGGCCCTGATCACACACTACTGTGGTCGCAATTCCTCTTCCTTGGCCTCCTCCATGCTGTGCCTGGCTGGGTACGGGCATAGCATGGGTTATTTCAACTTTCATTCCGTTTCAATGTTCAGTTTTCTCCAGTTGCACCATCGTGGGAATATGTCTCCTCTTTACTTTGTAGCTTCCAAATATCCCAAAAGGCAATGGGATCCGGCAGCCCCAGGAGCCGAGGGGCCCCGCAAGCAGCACAAGATAACTGAGTGGCGTCCCCGGGGTGTCAGCGTAAATGCTGGATTGGCTGCTCTTCCCCACATCTCCTCAGCTTTTAACACATCCATCTCCTAACTCTTTCTAGGTATTCTTTTACTTTGTTTTTTTTAATATATTTTTTATTGATTTCAGAGAGAAAGGGAGAGATAGAGAGATAGAAACATCAATGATGACAGAATCATTGATTGGCTGCCTCCTGCATGCTCCCCATTTGGGGAATTGAGCCCACAACCCAGGTATGTGCCCCCTGTTGGAAACGAACCCAGGATCCTTTAGCCCCCAGGCTGACGCTCTATCCACTGAGCCAAACTGGCAACGGCTATTCTTTTACTTTGTAGAGTAAGATATTGTTCCTGGATAGGCCTCAAGAAAGGGCAGCAATTCCACGAGTATGGAAAATTGATTTTTTTTTCCATTTGATTTTGTCGTTTTCTCTGAGCTCACTATGCATTGAATACCTGAAATAAAAAAGCTCTGTGACTATAAGCTGACATTTCCTCGATTACCTAACATATAAAAAAAACACCACTGTGTTATTGCAGCTTATTTGCCATGGCTACAAGTTTAATGTACAAATTATGTTTGCACAGAGGCACTTACTACAAAAAAACGTTTTCTAGACACTCGAGTCTGGTAAAATTTGTTTTGCTTTGGTTTCACGTAGCCGCCTCATGCTTATTCTGCTACATGTGCAGTCACAGCAAGTCTGAGTCTATGTTGGCGCTTTGAAACCTAATCTTCTCCCGTGGAGCAGCCCAGGGGAAGTGGAAGCAACTTAGAATGATCTAGAAAGCTACCTACCATCTTTCACTTCACCACTGCAGAGTCTGCTGTTTGCTAGCCAGAAATTGGAAATATTATTACATTAGAGACAAAACTTACTAATTACCCAGGTGTAGACTTGACACTTTATTTGTTTGTTTATTTGTTTATTTATTTATTTATTTATTTATTTATTTATTATTTTACCTTGGACTTATTTTATTTCTGGCAAGGCTGCATACATTCTTGGGTTTATTACCTGTTTACTTTTCCTATCGGAACAATTCGAAGGAATTCCTACCCCACACTCAGCCTCTTTCCCCAGTGATCATTGATTCTCTTCCTCTGATGAGAAATTCTGTCATGCACTCGGGAAATATAAATGGAGGACTGACCGCCTGCTAGGCTAAGATGTAGGGTGCTGAGAAAAACAAGTCACTTTCTCTCACACAGATGGAGAGAGAAAGGTCACCCATTATACCTTAAGTCTTAATGCCACAGAAGAGGCGGGGGAGGGGCAGAGATAGTTTACATTTATATAATGAGGGCTTCATGGTGACAGCTAATGGGGTGGAATATCTCCAAATCTATTTAAGGTTTCTACTTTTTGTGTGTGTGTGTGTGTGTGTGTGTGTGTGTGTGTGTGTGTGTGTGTGTATAAATATATCTTTATTGCTAAGGGAATTACAGATGTCCCCCATTACCCCTTTTCACCTGGTTACTGGCCCACTCCAGCCTTCACTGTGCCCATGGGTTATGCATATATGCATGTAAGTTCTTCAGTTAATCTCTCCCTGTCCCCTCTCCCTCCTACCCTCCGAGCAGAATTGACACATTTATAAAATACTGGTAGCCCTGTGCACAACTCCGTGCAGCAGTAGCTCTCTGCATGGCCTGGCTGCTCTGTGCCTGCTGCCCAGATGCTCTCCGTGGCCCAGAGGCCCATCTGCAGCTGAGAGCAGAACATTTGCCTCATGGCCCCAGTGATGAAGCAAGCATTCTGCCAGGCCACTCATGCTGCCCACTTTCAGTGGCCACCCCGCTGATCCCCCCCAGGACTGGGGGACTCTGATGGGGCTGAAAGGACTGGGCGCCACCATTTTGTGGCTATGATTGCTGCCACCTTTGTGACGGAGTGATGGTTAATTTGCATATCACCCTTTTATTTAGATGGGATATTCTTGTCATAGGAAATTAAATACAAAGTGCATTTTCCCTGTTCTAACTATCCATTGCTTTCCCGTCCTCTCCTGACAACCCCAAGTCACTTCTGCTGA